AGTAGAGTGCTGTGGAAGCTCACAGAAACCTCCAACTCTTGGTCTTAAGCGATTCTCTTGCCTCAGCTTCCCAAATAGGTAGGACTATAGGCGCCCGCCACAAGGCCCAGCCATTTTTGTTGCAGTTGCCACTGCTGTTTTAGCTGGCCGGGGCCGGATTTGAACCCTCCACCCTCCGTATATGGGGCCAGCGCTCTACCCACTGAGCCACAGGTGCTGCCTGAAACAATACATTTTCTATCTGTCATAGTGAGGCCAGGGTCTTTTCTTTAAGGAGGGGGCCAATGACTGAAGTTTTCCATCCTTGTTACATAAACCAGTTAGGTATCTATCACATGCAGTTTGTTTCCTTAAGGTAAAACAATTAACACCACATTTGAATCAATCTGCATGCAGAATTTATTTAGATTTTTATGATTTTCTCCAAAGTTATAATAATCTCCTGCTTACGTCTAATTCTACAGCTTTTTTCCCCCTTTTCACTTCTATTCAGCATAGTATACAGCAGCTTTTGCAAGTGACTCACCTTAGTCTTCTAAGCATCCAACTTAGTTTTCATTGAAACAATCTTTGTTTTCACTTTACTCACCAACATATATAATGTTTAATTAAATGACAAATTAAGTAACACAACCAGCATAAACACACTTTGCAACTAACTCTGGGTAAGCCATGGCCTAGCTGGGGGAGTGAACTCCACAGCATTCTAGAAGGTATTCACTCCTTGGGTTTGAATCCCAACTTCTTTACATACTAGTTGTGTAACCCTGGGAATTCAAACTACTTATGCTTGCTTTATGCTCTATTTCCCTCATCTATGAAAGGGGATAATAACAGCATCTCATGAATTTGTGAGGGTTAAAGGAGAAAACACTTGTGAAGCACTAAGAGTGGTGGGGGGTAGGTGCTAAATGCTCAGTAAACCCAGCATCACTGTTGTTGCCAGGCTGGGGCAGCAGTTGTCTGACAGGTTGCGGGCCTGAGCCTATACCCAGCATCCCCTCTACTTCATGGAGGAAGTAGGTGCTTCTAGTACCATGTAACTTTTGTAGAGTTACATCCCTACTTCCCATATGAGAAAATTCAGGACTGAAGAGTTGGTGACTCCAAAGCCACTTGACCAGGAAGTCATAATTTTTAGAATTTATAAGGGCCTTAGCAATCATAAAGTTTGGATCTAGGGGAAAAAGTAAAATTCACCATTGTTTTTTAAACCTGTTGAGTCCAAAAATTCCCATAAGGAGCAAACAGAACCTCCCAGAGCAGAGACTACAAAGTCCTGGCCAGCCTCCTCAGGATCACTGGCTGGCTGTGTTCCGGACACCCTGTGCTCCGTGTCCATCAGGGTTGAGCAATTGGGAAGAGGCTAAGTCCCCTGAAACTCCTAGTGTGCATACAGGCAGCTTCTGCAGAGGTGAAGGCTGTAGCCAGCAGTGGGGAGGTCACATGACTGTGCAGAAGCCAGATTCTGTGGGTCTCCGCTGCAAGCTCCTGCTGAGGGACTCCCTGTGCCCTCTGGGCAACCTGAAGAAAGCAAGAAGGGGCCTGTAGTGGAGGTCAGGAGGGGCTTGCTTGCCCTGGCTCCAGCTTCCCCATGCCCTCTCTGGTCCTTACCTCTCCTGGTGGGCTCCAGAGCAGGAGGTAGGAGGCTTCCCATTCCCCCATTTTGCAGGACTGTCCTTTTCTCTGAGACCTGCGGGCAGGCCATGCAGGAGGCAGGGGATACCCCTGGCCTCCAGAGCTGGGTGAGGGTTGTTCAGATTGCTAAAGGGCATAGACAAAGAGACTCATCCCTATGTCCCAAGCACTAACTAGGTCACAGCTTTCTCTAACGGGTCATATTCCACTAAAATCATCCCAAGCCACATCTACTTACCTTGCCATTCTCCAAGCCTCCTCCCCTTCCCAGGGACCCACCTATTGGCTTGGGAGCCATCAGATACCAGGATGCCAGGGTACTCCCTGCTGGGAGGGCCTGGACCTCCAAATGGAATATGGGCTGTGGGTCCTAGACCTGGACACAGAGAAACAAACATTCATCATATCAGGAAAGAGAAAGCTCTGGGGGAAGAACTGGGATGAGGGTGGGTGGGGATGCATGGGTCACTGCACACAGTGTGTGTGTAAAGTACTAGCCCTTTACAGGGCAGGTACTTTGTAAACATGGGCCAACTAGAAGCTAGATGGTGGAATGATTCACGGTGCCTGCAAGAAAACACACAGAAAATTCAAGTAGATTCAAGTCAGCTCAGCAAGTAGCTCCACAGCTGTGAGCCTTTTGGGGTGAGACCAATGATGAGGGAACTGGAGAAGAAAAGCACCCAGCTGGTACTGGGTACATCGCTGGCTTTCAACAAACTTTGACTCTCTAAAATGCAAAGTTTTAGAAGTTAAGAAAGCATAAGAGCAGGCAGGAAGACATGATTCTAAAAAGGGTTGAGGGGGCACCCATAGCTCAGTGGTTAGGGCGCCAGCCACATGCTGTGGGGCTGGTGGGTTCGAACCTGGCCCTGCTAAACAAAAGAAAATAGCCGGTTTGTGGCGGGCGCCTGTAGTTCCAGCTACTAGGGAAGCTGAGGCAAGAGAATCACTTGAGCCCAAGAGTTTGAGGTTGCTGTGAGCTATGACGCCACAGTACTCTACGAGGATGACAAAGTGAGACTCTGTTCATTAAAAATAAAATAAAAATAAAAAATAAAAAGGGTTAGAGGATGGGGAGAGAATGGGTAGGGGGAGGACTGTTCGGGGAGTTAGGATCCAGGACAGCCTGGTTCGGGGTGGTGAGGGCAGGGCCAGGCTTCGGCGTCAGGTCTGAATGGGGAGAAACGAAGCAGAAGAGGGGACAAGTGATGAGGGAAGCAAGAAGGACTAGAGGAGAGTACCATCCGTGCGAAGAGAGGTGGCACGGCCAGGGACAGCCCACATCAACTCACGCTGCAGTCTCCCAGATCTAGAAGTCGCGAGAACATTCGTTGACCTCTCCTCTCTTTTATCCTCGCGGCTCACCTCCAGCTCTCCGACTTTCCACCTGCTAGTAGACCTACAGGGGCAAGGAACAAGCACGACGGGCAGAGCAGACCCAAGAGCCCTCCTCCCAGGCACCCAGCAAGGGCCCCACCGCCACGCCCACGAGGGAAGCTCCGTCCAAGCCCTCCGTAAAGCCACGCCCGCCCAGGTGGCCCCGCCCCCTCACCCGAGTAGGGTTTCTGATGTGCTTGGTTGCGCCCAGGTTGGCGTCTTCGCCCGGCGGCAGACTCTGCCTGTAGTCTGGGGCCTTTCTGGAGCCATGGCCTGGGAATGAAGGGTAGTGAGAAGAATGGGTTTGCGGAAAGAAGCAGTCGAGACACAACGGCTCCAGAGAGGTGGATTTAAGTGACAGTGACAACCGAAGTGTGCCTTTCGTCTCTTGAGAATAAACTTTAAGGGTGAAGCCCCTTGTTCTGTTACAGTTCCCACTTGGTAACTCTCAAGTTAATTTTTATGGACTCTCGCACTCGACCAGAGCCTGACAACCACCCAGTCCTGTCGGGAGCCTCATGGGGCCAAGACACATAAAGTTAGTAGCTGACTTTGGATGAGGTCTGGGTCTTCAGACCTCCACTCCAGTCCTCTACTTGTACCAAGCTAATTTAAATATAGTGTCCTAGTCTTTAAAATGAGAAGGCATAAAACTTATTAAATAAACATAATAAACATTAAAGTATAATTTCGATTCCTGGGGTGGAAAGAAGTTTTTTGAGGGTGTCTCAGAATGGGACAAAGGAGGCCCATGGAGAGAGATTCAGAGGTAGAGATAGGGTGAGGCAGCGCCGGGGAAGGAGGCACTAGGAGCAGATCCTCAGAGGAAATGTCCCTAGAGATAGGAGCCACGGACTTCCTGGGAACGCTATCACCATCTTGTGGCCACTTGGGGGAACTGCAGTCAAGGACTTAAAACTTTCTACCTCCTCATCCATAGGGTTTAGGATCTTATTTTTTATTTATTTTTTATTTTTTTGAGACAGGGTCACCTTCTGTCACCCAGGCCGGAGTGCAGTGGCCCGATCATAGGTCACTGTAACCTCAAACTCCGGGGCTTAAGTGATTCTCTTGCCTCAGCCTCCACAATAGCTGGGACTAAGGCATCTGCCACAACTTCTGGCTGTTTTTTTTTGGGTTGTAGTTGTCATTGTTTGGCAGGCCCAGGCTGGATTCGAACCTGTCAGCTCTGGTGCATGTGGCTGGTGCCTTAGCCACTTGAGCTACAGGTGTCACCAGGGCTTAGGATTCTTGATGGCACCCCTTGGCCTTCACCCAACAGGCTTGTTAACAAGCAGTCAAAGTCCTGAAACAGCCCTTGTGTTGGAAACATGCCATGACCCCCCTGCCGATCCGTCCACCCCCTGTAAAGTGATATATATCCCACAGGAAGGCTCAGGGCAGATGAACACAGTTGGGCAGTCAAGTGCAGCATCTCTAGAACATCGCCTCTACCTACCACCAACCCCCTCTCTGGGCAACCTTTCTCCACCCCTATCTCCTTGTCTCAGGTGTCATCTCACCAGAGTATGAGACTGGACCAGCCCTACCTGGCTCAAGTGGGTCCTCATAGCATCTGCCAGCTTGGCCACCAGCCGTTCTCGCACAGAATCTGGCTCCTTCTGGAGACAAGGTGGACAATGGGGAAATGGGGGTAGACTGGACTTTGTGGTCCTTAAGGGTTGAGGGAAAAGGAAACAGAAAAAAGGAGGGAAAGGGGATTTCTCTCCCTTCTTGTCTACCCCATCCCCAAGCCTTTCTCAGGGTCCTGCCACTGTCTGCCTAGAATTGTGGACAAAAACTGACTTTCTCTCACAACTGTACCCCAAGGCCTACTACTCTGAAGTCTAATGTGTGTTTGGTAAGTGCATGAGTAGCTGGGAGAATACAAGGACTGAAGATAGGAGGGCTTCCTGAAGGAGGAGTAGCAGGGAAGAGGTGGGTTCCAGGATGAGGGTCTCACCTGACACTGGGCCAGCGCTTCCTTATAGTACTTCAAGGCCTGGTCATACTGCCCCAGTCTGGCTGCAGCAGCCCCCAGCCCCTCACAGGCCTGCCACTGCCCTTTCATGTCCCCTGAGGAAGAGAGCCTCAAAGGTGCTCTCACAGCTCCCTACTCCACTAACCCACCCCTGCAGAGGTACTCCCCACCCTCAGTTCCCCCATCTGCCTCCCCACCAGTCCCAAGGACACTCAGCCTTTGGACATCCCCTGCAAAGCCACATGCTACCCTTCACACTTACCGGTGTCCCGGGCAGCTTGCAGGGCATGCAGGTAGTTGTCCCTGGCAGCTGTGTGGTCCTCCAGCTGGCTCAATGCAAATGCCAGGCTGCCAAAGCTCCGGCCCTGCTCCCATCGCTGCCCCACAGAGCCTGCAGACAGAACCCGCCCCCCAGCAACAAGGCATGGTTCTCACAGCCCTGGTGCCCAGCCTCATTACACTTCCATATGGATGCAGAGGCCTGAACTCTCCATACCCAGCCTCTCCTCATTCTGAGCACTGGCCTGAATGCCTCCACCTGACTGGTCTGAGTCAGGCAACAACCCTGTGAGGTAGGCAGGGCAGGTATTACCATCCCTATTTATATACATGTAGAAATTGAAGCTTGGAAAGCAGAAGTGATTCGCTGAGTGTCACACAAACAGAGGAGGGACTGGGCTCCACTTCAGGTCTCCTCTCCTGGCTGGTACCCTTCCCCCGCCCATTGCTGCCTCCAAACCCCAGGCCTCAGCCTCTGGACCCACAAACCTCTGTCCTGTCTGGCCCTCTCATCTACTGTACTCCTGGCTCTTACTCCCCTGGTTCTGGGCTTCTAAGCCCCATAACTGGTTCTAGAAATCCAACAATCCTTAAGCTATGGGGACTCTGATGGAATGACCCTTAGTGTTTTGGCCCCAAGTCCTGTTCCACAACCCCTGGCACCCACCATGTAGGTTGGCAGCCCTCTGGTGAAACTCCCGAGCTTCCTGATAGTTGCCGAGGGCGTTGTGGGCCATTCCAAGGTTTCTCAGCACTGTGGCCTGCTCTCCTGGCCCCCGGCACAGGGGCAGAGCCTGCAGGAAGGCTTCCATGGCCAGTGGGAACAGCTGGAGCTGGGAGTAGCCCAGGCCTAGGTCATTATAGAGGTGCCCTAGAGAGCACAGCCAGGGTCACTGGTAGCCAGATCAGATGCAACTGAGGCTGTACTGGTACAGCCCCTGTCCCTCTCCTCCAAGCTCCCCAGACCCTTCTGCAGCCCTTAGAGTACCATTAGACTCTCTTCCTAGATCTCACACCTCTCCTACACAAAGTCTCACCCAGCAGTCCCTGCTCAGCGCTCCTTCCAGCGAGCCTCTGGCTCTCCTCCAGCACCTGCACAACTTCGCTTGCCCGGTGCCGTCCGCTCTTCAGCATACACCCTGCTGCAGCCCCAAGTGCCAGGGCGGCAGCCCGGGGCTGCCTTGCTTGGGCATAGGCCTGGCTTGCTTCCTGCAGGCAGTGGGCTGCTAGCTCAGGCTGTCCCAGAGCCTGGTAGCAGGCTCCCATTTTTGCCTGTGCTTCCCCCTGGTCCCCCTGTGGCTGGTAGTGACCCAGAGCCTTGTGGTACCAGGCCAAAGCTTGAGGCAGGTCACCAAGGGCTTGGTAGGCCAAAGCTACATTGAAACACTGGTCACCGTGGTGCCTGCCCTGCGCCTTCCCTTCAGGCTGGGCTCGCAGGAGCAGCTCAAGGCCTCTGGCTGGGTCCCCAGTCTCCACATAAGCAGCCCCCAAGTTGAAGGCACAGGCCCGGAGCACAGGGGTGTCCCTGGTCTGTGGGTTCTCAGAGGCCAATAGGAAGGCCCTCTGGAAGCTGGTCAAGGCCTCATGGTTCTGGCCAGCCTGTAGGGCCCCATGGCCAGCCCTGGTGAGGGCTTCAATGCTGGCCTCTTGCTGTAGCCACCTTCTTTTCTTCTTTTTTTTCTTGAAGCTTGAGGCCTCAGGCTCAGGCTCCTGGGGGACATCTTCAGGGTTTCCAGAAGACATAGGACTAACAGTGGGGAACAGAGTGGTCATAAATCAGCATTGGCAAGATCCCTTTAGGGCAATTTAGCTCTGCCCTTGCCCTGGTGTACCTCTCAGGTTTCCAGGATTTCTCTCTGCCATCTCTCTGTGCTTCAGGTACCCCACTGGAACCTGCATCAGCTCTCACTGCAATGTCCTGACTAATTCTTGTTCCTCTTTGGAGACTCAGATCTAGCAGCATCTCCCTAAGAAAGCTCCTTATCAACCAGCAGCCAGTGGGTGCTTCTGTGGTCACCCCCGGCCCCATGTCTATGTCTTTTATGGTATTAACACACCGGTCGGGATTGCTGACTTTCTTGTCTTTCTTTCCTGAAAGTAGCCTGAAGGGTCTGGCATATAGCAGACTCTCAGTAAATGTCCACTGAATGAGAGGGGAAAGTTCTGAGATGGGTGGCTACACAGCAACGTGAGTCCACTTAATGCCACTCAGCCATACTCTTTAACATGGCTAACACGGTAGACTTTATGTTACACACATTCACCACAATTAATGCTATGGCTTGTGCAACTAAGTGAATGAAGAAATAGCACACACAGGGCCTCTGCTCCATTGTCCTTCATGCTGTGTAGCTGCATACACCGGCCCATAGTCCAGGCAGTCTTGTGTCTAGCCTCAGCCGCAGTGCAGGCCGGCTCCGCACATGCCCTGCCTGCTCCATGCCAGGAGCCACCCTGGGCCCTGGCCCAGAGCTCAGTAGGCTATAGGACTGGCCAGGAGCCAACCTCCAGGAGACCAGGAGTCTGTGTCTCCCTTTACTGCCCCTCCTCTGTCTCAAGGGCAGCTTCTTCCAGTCTCCCCAGCTTTCTGTCTGCTGGCTGATTCCAGTCCCCCTGTATCCTGCTCTGGCCTCAAGAGCCCCCTTAAACGCAGATATGTCATCATCCCAGAGTGTACATCCTGTTAGTATCTTTGTTCTTGAAAGGCAAAGGATTTTCATGGACTCCTCCCAGGAGATAGGAAAAGGAATAGAAAAGACCCAGGACTCTCACTCCTCCCATTTTATTCTTCTTTCTTTTTTAGGAGGGGCAGGCAGAGGCAGTCCATTCTCTTTTTAAAGAAAGTCTCCCCAGCCTCTAAGAATACCCAGAAATCCTGCCTTTTCAAGGCCCTAACCACACCCCCATCCTACCCCAGTCCCAATTACTCCCACTCCAGTCTGGGGTTCCCCCGCCACTGCTGCAAGACATCTTACCTCCTTCGTCCTCTCGTCCTCTCGGCAGCTGGCCTCTGAAACAGAATGGCCCCTCTAGCTTGGGTTACCTCCCCTAGCTCCCCCAGCTCACAAGGCCCGGAGTTACTAGACAACTGGGTGCCAGCCTCCCATTCCTAGGGAATTCTTTGAGTGACATCTCAAAGGCCCTATCTGCGTGCAGAACCCTGATGGTACTTGAGCACAGACACCTGAGTTTCATTGTCCTTCCTGTTTTGCTGATCCAACCCCTGCAGACACAGCCCCTCAGGTCCCTTGCTTCAAGGAATAAATCAAACCATCATGGGGCTGGTCATTGGCTATGCACTCAGAGATGCTCTATCTCGTCCCTCTGTTTCACAAAGGAAGGGACTGAGGCTCAGAGAGCAGGTATGTCTTGCCTAAGATCACAGAGCTGTCAAGTAGCTGGGGTTAGACCCCAGGTTTTCTTTTCTTTTCTTTTCTTTTTGTTTGAGGCAGTCTCAAGCTGTTGCCCTGGGTAGAGTGCTATGGTGTCGTAGCTCACAGCACCACCTCCAACTTGGTCTCAAGCTATCCTCTTGCCTCAGTTTTTCTATTTTTAGTAGAGACGGGGTCTCACTTTTGCTCAGGCTGGTCTGGAACTCATGAGTTCAAGCAATCAACCCGCCTTGGCCTCCCAGAGTGCTAGTATAGACCCCAGGTTTTCTGATTCAAGTTAATTAGCCCAGGGCCCCTTCCACTGCCCTATGACTACAAACTTTAATGGGGCTTAGGCTGTCCAGGAAGTGAACACTCCCCCCGACCTACTCCCCTCTCTTACATACCACATCTCATATCTGGGAACAGGGTGAAAGGTTGATGGTCAGGAAAGGCCTGGAGATCAGAAAAGCCCCTTGCCCCTGGACTCCTCTCCCCAGATCCACTGATCTGCAACCTACATGTTCTTTTTTTTTTTTTTTTTTTTTTTTTTTTTTTTGAGACGGAGCCTCAAGCTATCCCCCTGGGTAGACTGCCATGGCATCACACTCACAGCAACCTCCAATTCCTGGGCTCAAGCGAGTCTCCTGCCTCAGCCTCCCAAGTTGCTGGGACTACAGGCGCCCGCCACAACGCCTGGCCATTTTTTGGTTGCAGCCATCATTGTTGTTTGGCGGGCCTGGGCTGGGGATTCGAACCCGCCACCTTAGGTGTACGTGGCTGGCGCCTTAGCCGCTTGAGCCACAGGCGCCGAGCCAACCTACATGTTCTTAATGAAAGGACAGCAGACCCAGGACAATGGGGATGTAATGGCCCAACTCACCCAGGATGGCCTGCATCAGAAGGCAAATGTCCTCATTTACCTGGGGAAAGGCCTCTTTTGAGTAAAGAAAACTTTGGCAGAGATAAAATGATGAGGAAGTAGCTGGGCTTACTGCATTTGCCCTGCAGCCTTCACTGTGCACTTGCACTTGGTAGCACAGGGTGGTGGTGGCTGGGCAGACAGCACTGTGAGGGAGCACAAAACGGCTTCCCTCTATCCTCTGTGTTCTTTGGTTGAACTACAAACTAAATTGACATGGGGGGCAGGGCAGCACCTGTAGCTCAAAAGGGTAGGGCACCAATTCCATCTGCCAGAGGTGGCAGGTTCAAACCCAGCCCCAGCCAGGCTAAAAATGGCCAAAAAAGAAAACAAAAAATTGACATGGGACAGATTGACAGTAGAAAAACCATTTTAATTATAGTCATGCTTTGCTTAACAACAGAGATACATTCTGAGAAATGTGTTGTTAGGTTCTTTTTAACATGTTCAAACATGTCTTTTTATTTATTTATTTATTGTAGTTGTTGCAGTTTGTTTGTATGTTTCTTTGGTTTTTTGGCTGGGGTTGGGTTTGAACCCACCACCTCTGGTATATGGGGCTGGCACCCTACTCCTTGAGCCACAGGTGCCACCCTGTTAGGTGGTTTTATTGTTGTGCAAACATCATAGAGTACTGTACTTACACAATCTAGATGGCGTAGCCTACTACATACCCAGGCTCTGTGGTGTAAGCCATTGTTCCCAGGCTACAAACCTGTACAGCATGTTGCTGTAACTGAATCCTCTAACACAATATTAAGTATTTGTGTATTTAAACACCTCGAAGCAGAAAAGACACAGTAAAAATACAGTATAAAAGACTAAAAATGGTACACTTGAATAGGGCATTTACCATAAATAGAGCTTGCAGGACTGGAGGTTGCTCTGTGTGAATCAGCAAGTGACCTAGGACACTGCTGCCCACTTGCACACAACTGGTGGTGCAGTGGTTTGGACCAGCATCACCACAAGCATGAGCAATGTGCTGCCCTCAGATGTTGTAATGGCTACAACCAGCAGGTGACAGGAATGTTTTATTTATTTATTTTTGAGACAGAACCTCAAGCTGTCCCCCTGGGTAGAGTGCCATGGCATCACAGCTCAGAGCAACCTCCAACTCCTGGGCTCAAGTGAGTCTCCTGCCTCTGCCTCCCAAGTAGCTGGGACCACAGGCACCCGCCACAACGCCTGGCTATTTTTTGGTTGCAGCCATCATTGTTGTTTGGTGGGCCCAGGCTGGGATTCGAACCCACCACCTTAGGTGTATGTGGCTGGCACCTTAGCCACTTGAGCTACAGGCGCCGAGCTGACAGGAATGTTTTAGTTCTATTATAATCTCACGGGACTACTGTCTTATGTGGGGACAGTTGCTGACTGATGTTATGTGGACCAAGACTGTACGTGCATATTCATGGGAGTCTCACAAAGCATGAGACTCAAAGATGGTCCAGGTGATTGGAAGTTTCCATAGCACCTGAGAATAGGGGCTTGGGCTTCTGCAGGGCAGTGACAACAAGTTAAGGTGGAGGAGGAAGTGCAAGGTGAACAAAGGCAAGCTGTGTAGATAAAAAATCTCTAAGGTAACAAATGTTATCTCAGAGCACCCCTCTTCCTGATGTAGATCCTTTGCTAATGGAGATTTCCTTTACAGAATTAAATTTATTTCCCAAAAGGACAGCTTTTCAGAGCTACTCCTGTGTCTGCAGTTTCTCAGAATAACCAGCTTAAAATACACCAAGGAGTATATTTTGGGGTAGCACATTCTGGTTTTGTACAGTCATATTTTGGGGTGCTATCTCCTGAGCCCCAACAGTGCCCATGCCCAAGATAAGGTCTCCCAGCTGCCTGCAGCTTCTACTCACAGCCTGGCCAGGGCCAAATATGCAACTCAGTTTGTCCTTCACTCAGGAGACTTCCGTGAAGGAGAGAGGATAACGTAGAGGAGGGCAGGGAATGAAACTGCTCCCAAGGTTAGAAAGGATCCAGTGATAATTTCTGAATCATTCTCGTTTGATTTCTCTGCTGTATCCATCACACCCTTGCGTCTCTCTTCTCACTTGGCTTCTATAACCTACTGTCCCATTCTTTGCCTCCTGGGAAGAACCGTAGGAGTACAGGACCCAAAGAAGGGACAGTTGCACAATACTCTTGCCTTCTCTGACAATTTTTTTCCATCTCCTTTGCTGGACCATCTGTCCATCTCTTAAATCCTTATATCCCCCTCACTCTGCTCTTTCTTACTATTTCTTCTTACTTTACATAGTCTTTCAAGAACATTTCATCCAGCTCGGCACCTGTGGCTCAAGTGGCTAAGGCACCAGCCACATACACCTAAGGTGGCGGGTTTGAATCCAGCCCAGGCCTGCCAAACAACAATGATGGCTGCAACCAAAAAACAGCCAGGCGTTGTGGTGGGCGCTTGTGGTCCCAGCTACTTGGGAGGCTGAGGC